TTTGCGGCGGGCGATTTCCTTTTCCTCCTCCTCCTCCTCCTGCTCCTCCCCCTCCTCCTCCCGCTCTGGCGCAGGGGTGGAGGATAAGAAGGAGCAGAAGAAGTAGGAGGAGAAAGATGAGGAGGAGAAAGATGAGATTGTTTCCTTTTGTGGAGGGGCCTCCCCCATATTTTTTCCTTATGTGCAAGGGGCCTCGCGCATATTGATTCCTCTTGTGGGGGGGGGTCCTCCACATATTGACTCCTCATGTGGAAGGGACCTCCACATGTTGATTTCGTTTGTGGAAGGACTTCCACATATTCATTTCTTAGGTCAAAGGGGTCTCCACATGGATTTCTTATGTGGATGGGCCTTCGAATATAGACTCGTTATGTGGAGGGGCCTCCACATATTGAGTTTGTCTGTGGAGGGACCGCCGCCTATTGATTCCTTATGTGCAAGGGGTCTCCATATTGATATCTTGTGTGGAGGGGCCTCCAACATGTTGAATCCTTATGTGGGAGGGGCCTTCATAGATGAGCTCCTTGTGTGAAGGAGCCTGTACACATTGATTCCTTATGTGGGCGGCCCTTCACATATCGATCCCTTATGTGGAGGGGCCTCCACATGGATTCCTTGTGTGGAGTAGGAGGAGAAAGATGATGAGGAGGAGGAGGAAGAGTAGGAGGCGGAGGTGGACACGGGGGAAGCGGATTTACATATCGATTCCCTTTGTGGCGGGGCGGGGTACATATAATGGGAGGAGAGGAGAGGGGGAGGAGGAGGATGTGAGGAGGAGGAGGAGAGGAGGTGGAGGAGGAGGAGGAGGAGGAGGAGGAGGAGGAGAGGAGGAGGAGGAGGAGGAGAGAGAGAGAGAGAGAGAGAAAGTGTCAAGAGAGGGAGGAGAGAGACAGAGGGAGGAGGAGAGAGAGAGGAAGGGAGAGGAGAGGAGGAGAGAGAGAGAGAGAGTCAAGAGAGGGAGGAGGATATATATATATATACAGAGAGAGAGAGAGAGAGTCAAGAGAGAGAGAGAGAGTGGGAGGAGAAGAGAGGAGAGATAACGAGAGAAAGAGAAACGGAATTCGGCAGAGAACGGGCGGGAACGTTGAGTCAAGGAGTCGACTAGGCGGAGGAGACGGAGGAGGGTGTTTTGTTTTCCTGTTGTTCCTCCTCCCCGCCCTCGGGGGCGGAGTTTTTTCCGCTTTTCCCATGTGAAAACACAAGTTGTTTCATAGTGTTCCTGTTTTTCGCTCTCCCTTTCGGCCCCTCGGGGTTTCCCCGCCGCCCCAGGGCCCGAAAAACAGGAAAAAAGGAAAATAGGAAAACCTTTGTTTTCACATGGAAAATGAGAAACACACACACACACACACACACACACACACACACACACACACACACACTCCTCCGAGGGCGGGGAAAGGGGAAAAAAGGAAAAAACACCCTCCCCCGTCTCCTCCGCTTACTCCTCCGCTTCCTCCTTTTTTTCTTTTTGTTCCTCCTCCTCGAAGGGGGAGTTAGTTTCTTATTTTTCCATGTGAAACACACAGGTTTTTTTTAAATATCTTTTTCCCTCTTTTTCTGTCTCCCGTTCGGCCCCTCAAGGTTTCCCCGCCGCCCCAGGGTGGGAGCGAAAAACAGGAGAAAAAGTAAAAATATGAAACAACCGGTGTTTTCACAGGGGAAAAAAAGGAAAAAAACTCCTCCTCCGAGGGCGGGGAAAGAGGAAAAAAGGAAAAAACACTCTCCTCCGTCTCCTCCGCTTACTCCTCCGCTTCCTCCCTTTTTTCCCCTTTTTTTCATGTTTGTTCCTCCTCCCCGCCCTCGAAGGGGGAGTTTTTTTCTTTTTTTTCCATGTGGAAACACATGTTTTTGTCTTTTTTTATTTTTTCCGGTTTTTCGGTCTCCAGTTCGGCCCCCGCGGACACCCTCCTCCGTCTCCTCCGCTTACTCCTCCCCCCCTACTCCCCTCCCCCGAGATGAGGAGAAGGAGGAGGAGGAGGAAGAGGAGGAGGAGGAGGAGGAGGAGGAGGAGGAGGAGGAGGAGGAAGAGGACGACGACGACGACGGCGACGACGACGACGACGACGACGACGAAATGTATGATCACGGGGGGGGGGCGACCATATTTATATATATATATATATATATATATATGTATGTATGTATGTGTATATATATATATATATATATATATATATATAATGCACCGGAGTTCCAGGTGCCTGGGGGGGCCCGGCCTCATGTCTCTATAGCGGGACTGGGGCTCCAGGACCTTCCGTTCCCAGCCCAAACGGCCTCGATGGCCTCCAAGACGGCCAAGATGGCCCATGATGGCTTCAGAAAGGCCTGCAAGAACGCTAAGATGGCCTCAAGAGAGCCCACGATGGCCCCAATATGGACTCACTCTACACGGCCCAACATGGGGTCAAGATAACTCCAAATAGCCTCCGAGGCGGCCAAGACGCCTCCAAGACGGAAATTCCGGAGAAGCTAAATTAATCGATTTCCCATTTTTTCTTTTTTTTATTTTTGGTTATTATTTTTTGTGAAGCAATGCATTTTTTTCTCGGCCTGCTGACGGTCCAGATAGCCCAAGAGGCTGCCAAGATCGCTCCCAGAGCACCCAAGAGGCCTCCATGGTAGCCCCGTGACGGCCCAAGAAACACCAAAGACGGCCCCAGGAGGGCCCCAAGACGGCCCAAGAGGATTGAACACGCCTGAGATTGCTTCCAAGACAGCCACGAAGTGCTCCAAGCGGGCTCGAAGACGGCGAAGACAGGCCTCGAAAACGACTTCCAGCAGCGTCTGACGGGCCAGGAACGCTTCAAGACAGCCAAAGAGGCAAGGGCAATGCGGAAAGATGGCTGCCGCGGGGCACGCGTGCACCGGTGCGCTGAACTCCTTTTTTGGGCACGAGCCGCGTGAAGGGTCGCGCGAACACGCCCACTGAGGCCGCAGGTGGACCTCCTCCGGGCACGCCCCGTGCCAAGCATGTTCCGAAATGAGCGCGGGGGCGCCATGCAAAGATACCCGTTCTGGAACATGATTCGCGTGACAGGTGTGCCGACATGGGCGGGGGGGGGGCGTTGTTCGAACCTTCCGGGCCTTTAATTCGGTGGTGCTCCTTGTGGGCAAGATCCACGTGATGGGGTGTACCGCCATGGCCGGAGGGGGGGGGCGCAGTGCGAACCTTGCTTTGGGGGCCTTTGGTTGGAGATCCTTGTGGGCCACGATCACGATCCGTGTGCGAGGTGTGCCGAAGTAGGCGGGACGGCAGGATGCGAACCTTGTCTTTGGGGCCGTCCGTGGATGTCCTTGTGGGCCACGATCCGCATGAGAGGTGTGCCGAAGTGATCTGGCCGATGTTTATGAAGCTCCCCTCTGGTGCCGCAGATGCATTTAGTTGTGGGGCACGGTCCTCGTGAGCGGCGTGCCACTGTGCGAACCTCGTCTCTGGGGATGGAATCACGTGGGTCTCCCTGTGGGACGCGATGCCTGTGAAGAGTGTGCTGGCATGGGCTTGGGGACCCAAGCCTGTCTGATGGGCCGCAGGTAGAGCCCCCTGAGGTGCACAATCCTTGTGACAATCAATGTCTTCCGATGCCGAACACTTTAAATCACAACTGGGGCTCGCTGGAAACTAAGCGTGCGCGAAGCGCGCGCGCGCGTGGTTCTATACAGATGTGTATATATATGTACATATGTCACGATCGATATCAATATTCATTCCCCGATGGATATCACACTCGATTTCACTATCGATCTTAATATCCATGCCAGTCAACCGATCTCACCATCGATTTCGCCACCGATCCCGATATCAGTCCCACGATCGATCTCATGCCGGGACTTCGTTGACCTCGCTGCCAACCTCACGATCGATATCACGACCGATCTCGCCTTCGATCTCCTCCCGTAGACCTCACCGTCGACATCGTTGGCGATCTCACGATCGACCTCGCCATCGCCAGCACCACAAAGCATGGCAGGCACCACGGCACGGGAGGCCCCCGCGCCACGGGAAGCCACGGGAGAGAGAGAGAGAGAGAGAAAGGGAGAAAGAGAGAAAGAGAGAATGAGAGAGACAGAGGGATAACTTAACAAGCAGGGGCAAAGAGAGAAAGAGAGCGGAACATCGCACAAGTAGATTGCTTTGCAACGTATATCCTAATTCGGTTACGGCGGGAGGAAGGCCGATTGAGGCACCTGCGAGATATTCAGAAATCCATTGATATCGGGTTTCCCTTGTGTAACTTGAAAAGCAACCGCTCTCAGTCAGTGAACCTCTTGCAATGTTTTAGAATAAATGTGCGCGGCGCTAGAGTCACAGTTTGAAGAGGACCCGCCTTCAGTCCGTGAAACTTGCGCAGTTGTTTGAAACGCATGTGCGCGGCGCTAAGGCGAGAGCCACATTTTGGAAGCGGCCCGTCCTCCATCTGTGAAGCTGTCGTCAGCTCTCAAGCTCGAGGCTCATAAATGTTAAGGAAATCTCAGACGAAACGCCCGGCCCGCCCGACTGGCCTCGGGGTGTGGCAGGGAGGAGTTACTCAGAAGGAAAAGGAATTGAGGAGGGGGAGGGGGAGGGGGAGGGGGAGGAGGAGGAGGAGGAGGAGGAGGAGGAGGAGGAGGAGGAGGAGGAGGAGGTGGAGGATGAGGAGGAGGAGGACCACGACAACGACGACGATGAGGAGGAGGAGGAGGAGGACGAGTAATAGGGGAAAAAGGAGGGGGAGGAGAAGGAGGAACTGCAGCGGAGAAGGATGAGGAGGAGTACGAGGTGCATCAGCCGCAGCATGAGAGGACCATGAGCAGGAGCAGGAGGCGCAGCGTGACAGCGGCAAAGGAAGAAATCACAAAAGGAGGAGAAGGTTCTGGTGGAGCAGGCGGAGCGCAGCACGAGGGTTGATTACTTTACTTCGTTCTTGGAAGGTTGAGATGCCGCGGGATGCGCAGCTGATGGGGCGCATAGCCTGCTTACCTCACTCATCAGATTCACCCCGCTCCCCCATTCTTTATCATGGCTCAGGATGGCTTGCGCATGGCCGGCTCACAAGCAGCCTGAGCAGCCTGGGGGAATTCTCGGTGGCGCGTGATCACACGCGATGTCCCACCCCGATCTGTATCCGAAGGAGGCGAGCTCTCGAGGTCTCGTCGAGCATCGCAGTCAGTCCCCCCTCTTGCTCGCAGACTCCATGGATTCGGTGGGGTTCACTGAGCTCCAGTTGGCGCAGCTTCGCGACGTGATGAAGCAGGCAATCGAGGAATCCGTGCGAGCTGCAGTCCGGTCGGAGCTCCAGGAGCTCCATCGAGGGCCAGGCCACGAGGCCAGCGACGCACGCAAGCAGGGTGCGCAGCCCGACCACGTGCCTGGTGGTGCTGAGGGCTCTGCAGGTGATGAAGAGGAGCAAGGACAGGGGAGCGCCACCATACGCACTCAGCTGGACGCACCACAGCATCCTTCAAGTCATTGCGTGCATTATTCGGACATCCTGAATCAATCATCCACGTCGGAGGTGAATCATGAAAGCATGGGAACCTTTGATCGGGTGCGGTTCAGGGCAAAGAAGCTCCTCCACGGTGGCACGCATTTTGATGCACTAATGGGTGTCATCATAGTTGCGAATTCTGTTGTCATAGCCATCGAAACGCAACTCAGGATGCTCGATGCTGTGCCAGAGTACCTGAAATGGGTCGAGTCGTCCTTTCTGGTAGTTTTCTTATTGGAGCTCGCCTTGCGCTGGCTGGCAGATGGACAGGATAATCTAAGGCAGGCATGGTTTTGGTTTGACTCGACGCTGGTAGCCCTCGGTGTCATTTCCGCCTGGATACTCGAACCTCTTAGCACTGTGGCTGACTTGCAAGACGTGCCAGTCATATCCCAGGTCCTCACCCTCCGTGTCCTCCGCTTAATGCGGCTTGTCAGGGCACTGAGGCTGATAGAGGCATTCCACGAGTTGTGGAGGCTTTGCTGCGGTCTCTCAAAGTCCCTACGAACCATGCTCTCCGTATGCCTATTGGTGGTGGTGGTCGTCTTTGTCTTCGCTTGCATGGGTGTTGAGACGATCTCCACCTCGGAAAGACTCAACCAGAACGAGGAGACCGCGGAGATTGTAAGAACTCACTTTTCGAGCTTGCCGGTGGCCATCATCACGCTGATGCAGGATCGACCCTCTCTCTCTCTCTACGGCCGGGAACTTTTTGGGATTTAGCGCGCTGCTCCGCCGGGTCTGGCCCACCACGCTTCGGCGCATGCTGCTCATTTCGGGGGCCCCCAAACGGTGTGGTGACCACACCGTGCGGTGAGTCGGTGGGGATTCGGGGTCACCGCACGGTTTTGGGACTCGGGTCGTTCTCCGAGGACGTCTCGGGCGACTGGGGCCTCCGAGGTCCCAAGACCGTGCGGTGACGGACCGTGCGGTGAGGTCTTGGGGGATTTCGAGGTCACCGCACGGTCTGTCACCGCACCGCTTCGGGACGCCAAATCATTTCCCGGTCCCCAACGTCAACGTCCCGAGCCTCTCCCAGCCTCCCGCCCCGCGGGCGTGCCGCCGGGGCCGCCGCCGCGGCGCGCGGAGCAGGAGCTCCCGGCCGTGCATAGCCAGCGCGCCCAGTGAGGGCGCGCGCCTCCGTCTGGGGTGCCCTTTTTGGTGTCCTTGCCTCTGCGGCCCGTCCTTTGCCGCTTCCAGTGGCCGCCCGCCGCCCCGAGAATCCCCAATTCGGCCTTCAGGGGCCCTGCATCCTTCCCGCCCGTCCCCAAGCTGAAGTGCACGCTTTGACCGCACTCTGGCTCCTGCGGCCGCTCTTCCCAGTCCCTCCTCTCCCGAAGTTCGCCAACGCAGACTCCATCGCGGCCATCTACCTGCCGATCTGCAGGGAGGAGCCGGCCTTCGTGGCGTTCTTTCTGGTGCTGTGGCTCGTGGTGACGGTGGCCCTCATGAACCTGGTCATCGAAGGCGCCTCCGGCGAGGCCCCGCCGCCCCGCGTGGTCTGTTGGCCGGCAAGGGCGGCAGCCAGTGCTTGGCCCTGCTCCGTGGCCGTCTTGGAGGCATCTCGGCCCGAAGAGCTTGGCGTGCGGATGCCACTGAGAGCTGCCCAGCTGTCTCAAACACCCGCTCCTCGTACTCAGCGTCGTTCTCCTCTTTCTTCTCCTTCGCCTCCTCGTTCCTCCAGCCTCTTGTCTCCCTCCTTCCTCCTCCTCCTCCTCCTCCCACTACTACTACACTACTACTACTACTACTACTACTACTACTACTACTACTACTACTACTACTACTACTACTACTACTACTACTACTACAACTTACTACTACCTACTACTACTACTACTACTACTACTACTACTACTACAACTACTATACTACTGCTACTACTACTACTACTACTACTACTACTACACTACTACACTACTACTACTACTACTACTACTACTACTAACTACTACTACTACTCCTCCTACTAACTCCTACTACTCCTACTACTCTACTACTACTACTACACTACTACTACTACTACTACTACTACTACTACTATACTACTACTACTACTACTATTACTGCTACTACTACTCTACTATGCTATGCTACTGCTAACTGCTACTGCTACTGCTACTGCTACTGCTACTGCTGCTGCTGCTGCTACTGCTGCTGCGGCTGCTGCTGCTGCACGACTACTACTACTACTACTACTACTACTACTACTACTACTACTACTACTCTATACTACTACTACTACTACTACTACTACTACTACTACTATTACTACTACTACTACTACTACTACTACTACTACTACTACTACTACTACTACTACTACTACTACTACTACTACTACTATACTACTACTACTACTACTACTACTACTACTCCTACTCCTACTCCTACTCCTACTCCTACTCCTACTCCTACTCCTACTCCTACTCCTACTCCTACTCCTACTCCTACTCCTACTCCTACTCCTACTCCTACTGCTCCTCCTCCTTCTCCCTCCCATCGACTTTGTGGGTGCCAGGAGGCTCCGAGGAAACTCCCCCTCCTTCTCCCTCCTCGCTCTTACCAAAGGCGTCTTGAAGTCCACTGGAGAGCACTTCTGGGCGCCCTCGAGGGCTCGGGGCCCGTCGGGGGGCCAGGTGACGCCTGGGCACGACTGTTCCACGGAGGTCTCCCGCGGAGGCCCGGCTGCCCCATCTTCGGACGCGGCGGAGGCGGCTCTCGGAGCCGTCTCTTGGAGCCTCCGTGGGGCTCGGGCTGTCTTCGGGCCGTCGTCGATCCCTTTTACGGTTCGAAGCCGGAAATCATCAGAAGTAATCAGAGCCCCGAATCATCAGGTGTAACTCGGGTCAGGGCTAACTCGGGTTCGTTTATCGGGAATCCGAGCCCGATTTACCCCGGACCCGAGTTACCCCGGATATTTCGGGCGTCCAGAGCCCCGAATCATCAGGGGTAACTCGGGTCAGGGTTAACTCGGGTTCGTTTTTCGGGAACCCAAACCCGAGTTACCCCGGACCCGAGTTACCCCAGATAACTCGGGCGTCCAAAGTAAAAGCCTTCCCAGCTCCGATATCTTTTTTACTGTTTGGGCCTCGCTGGAGGCCTGTCTCGGCGCCTCCTCGGGGCATCTCGAGGCCTCCTTAGGGACCTCTTGGAGCCTTTTGGGTTGTCCCTTGGGCCATTCTGGCTTGGTCTTAAGGCCACTCGGGGCGGTCTCTGGCCGCCTTGGGGCAGCCGAGGAGCGCACGGGTGAGCCAAACGAGGGAGGGCGCTACTGTGCCTGGTTCCGGGCCGAGGGGGGGCCGCCCATTGAAAGCTGCTGAAACCCACCCTGACTCCAGATCCGCCCTACTTTACTTTGGCTTTTCTTCCAACTTAAAATTGCGTCGGAAATCCACCTGTAAGAGGCCGAAAAATTAGGGCGGAAATTGCTGCACCCAGCATAAAGTAGGGCGGAAATCCACAGGAGTAGGGCGGAAACAGCAACAGAAAAGTAGGGCGGAAATTGGCATCAGCGGGGCTTGAAAAGTAAGGCAGAAATTCCAAGCCCTACTTACGAACTTCCCCAAAGTAGGGCGGATCCGGAGTCAGGGCAGCCATACAGTCGGGTCACTGAAGAAGGAACCTTTTTCGTTGGGGAGGGGCTCCGTGTTCCTGAATTGTCTCACAGCTTGCCTCAGGTTTTCCTTTTGCTCTCGATGGGGAATCGAAGTTTTACTTGTGGAGAAAAGGGGCCTCGTTCCTTATTTAGGGTTCCTTAGGTCAACGCCCCGACTGTACAGGCTGACTGGCATTCTATCGGACACGCCACTGTCATGCAGGCACGGCGGCGAGTTGCTGCTCCATGATCCTGGCGGGCAGCCTGTAGGACTTTTCGTTTCACATAGGCGCCCAGCAAGTC